TTGAAAATTTTCTGATGCATAAAAGTATTTTTATTCATAAAATGAAAAATACTTTGCATGTTGAATAAGCAACATGCGAAAAGAAAAAAAAGCATAAGAAAAATATTGCTTTACAAACATTAAGACTTAATAAAAAAAAAAATTAATATTGTGTGTATGAAACATTGTAATATTACTGATAATCTGCCAAATTTTGTTAACATACACTTACTAATTTAAGTTATAGCATGAAAACTATAACAAGCAAAAAATAGTTACAATGTCGGTTCTCGGGACCAAGCCCATGATGAAACAAAAATCCCTACTTAAAGAAATTAACATTTTTTTCAATTTTACTTTAAAGTCCCACCAAGATTTATTATCATTCTTTCTGAATAGTAACTTTATTGCAACAGAAAGATCACCTCCCAACATCTATGTATTCTTCATTTACATATAATTACACTTGTGGTCCCAGTAAGGCCACCTACAATGAAACTACTTATCTTGCATTATTTGCCAGAACACATTGGAGTGCCCTTAAAGATTGGTACTTACTTCCAAATTTTTGTAACTGCTATCCAAAATCACAAACAAGATACTAATCACATTATCAATGTAAACAAATTTAAAATCTTAGCCACTGGTAAATCAGATACTGAATTTCTCATCGAAGAAATAATAAAAATCATCCCGAAATCCTTAAAATTAAAATTTTAACTCACTCTGGTTTGCAACCTACTAATTCTGTTCACTTAATTTTTTTTCAGCATACTGTTTTTACATAAGTTTAATGTTGAACTTTTATTTTGTCAACTTGTTATTGCATTAGTAGAAAAAATCAGTGCGTGTATCTTTTATTCTTTCAAACATAATGAAGATGGATTAAGCACAGTCTGAAATGTGTAAATGTTATCCATTGCATCAGTTGTCTTATTTTATTGTCCATATTTTAAATTAATCACTAAAACTGTATCATTAGGAAATACTACCAACTAAGAATATATCTTGATGACATAAAAACTTAATATAATTCCCAAAACAGCCCTGAAGGACACTGCTAGTTACGTTCTCATAAAATAAAAAAAATTCCATTTATCATAACCCTTTGCTTAATTCATGGGGTAAATTTTCTATACTTTTTACCTTTTCCACTTATTCCACAAGAACCCAACTTACCAATTAATCTCTTGCGAGGCACCTCATCAAAAGCTTTCTGAAAGTAAAAGGTATACAACATCAACCTACATGCCATCATCCAAAAAGGCCTTATTTAAAAATTCCAAAATACACCAGTAAGACAAATACAAAAAAATTCTAAAACCATGCCAAGAGTCACTAGTTAAAAAATAAGGCATAAAAAACAAAGTTTTCAGTGTTTATCTACTAAGATTCTTTATGGCTTAAGAATAACATCATTTACCGTTATTCTCAAAGAATTTTTGAATCTTTACTAAAACACCAACTTGTTCAACAATAGATGATCCCAACCCTTCAGTTATACATCCCTACCACAATTTCTTCATTAAAAAAAAAAGTAACATCTTTTGCCTTTCCATTCTTCCATAATAAAGTCCCCTTAATCTCTTTAAGGACAAATATTATTACTGGCTCTCTTTTAAGAATTAACTTACAGTAATTTGATGTTTTTTGAGGTTAAAAAAAATCTTCCATGCTGCTTCTTCATAATATATTTTTAGTACAAAAGCTTTAGTTACATATCAGATTTTTGTGAAGATACACTTCCTAAATTCAGAACTATAGACAATATTACTTCTCCAATACGCGGTTGGTCCAATGGACGCACCTTGAGCACATACAATTAATACACGGATGCAAAAACCTTAAACATCCAAATAATTGAGGCAGAAAAGCAAAAATCTTATAAATTGAAGCTTAGCTGTCTTTCATTTCAATTTTTAAACAAAGCTTAATTGCTTTGCCTGTCTTTCAATACTAAAAGTCCAAAATATATATAAACAACTGTTTTCTCCAGACAGTTCCAGATGAACTTAACATATAGACAACATGCAAACATTTGGTCCTTCAAGGCTGTTCAACACACTCACCTCTAAGAAAAAAAAAACTTAAACCCATCCTTTAAGTTTTTAAGCAGATCATTAATTTACCTCTTAAACTATTGTAAGGTGCCCACTTTTATTATTGCAGACAGCAACTCAGTTCCCAAGACAATCATCCTACTAAAAAAAACAAAACCTTTTTAACTGGAGGCCTATCTTTTACTAATTTTAAAATTTGTGACCCTCTCATATTTTTCTCTTCCTAGTTGAGCACAAACAAATTAGAGATCTTTATCCTACTTATCCTTTTGCTAATCTTATAAATTAGCAGTAAGATTAACTGTTATTCTTCTTTTCTCCTGAAAAAATAAATAAAAAAAATAAATAGATGTTAAAAAAAGGGTAAGATTTTCTTTAAGTGAAATCATATTTTACTCAATGATTTTGTAAAACTATTTTTCCCGCTACAGAAACCTATACCTGTCATAAAACCTTTCCAACTTCCCAACCTCTGATCACCATGAAACTCCTTACTTTATTTATTCATATTTTTCAGCAAACTTTACAGCATTTTAATTTTCCTCTTTACAGCTGTCGGTGAATGACACGCACAACCCATCACTGTGGGGGACAATTAAATAAATTTTGTGTCTGGTGCAGGTTGGTACCTTTGGTAGGAGCAACTGGCTTATATTTTCCAGAACAATGCAAGTCTTTAAAAATAGGAGTAAATTTGAGTAATATTAGCAACCTTCCAGTCCTCAGGCATACCCACTGTCAACTGACCTATCAAGAATGAAAGACTAATATTCGATCCCTGACTTCCTTTAAAAGCATCAGGAAAGGCAGTTAGGTCCTGGCACTTTTTATTCACCAACAGAGAATTAATACTGAGAGAATTTTGGCCTATCACTGTATTTCCCACAGGTTCAAAAATATGGTTAACATCCTATCTTGTAAAAACAGGGAAACAATCTAAAAGCTCAATCATCTCACTAAACAAAAAGCTTACCATTGGCATACTTAAAAGTCCCAAATTACCATTTTAACAGTTTACTTAACTTTGAAGTACTTAGAAAAACTTTTCGCTACTACTTTTAACATTTTCCATTAATTGTTTCTCATACATTTTCTTGTTTTAACCAAATCCTTAGATTTTTAAGAGCTCTGCACATCTTCCATCCCAGCTTTAAATTTAAACTTCTTAAATTCATGTTACTTATCTCAGATTTTCTCCTTTAATCTTGAAACCTCAAAAAACCTTGCTCCCTCACTACTTGACTCTAATCTATGTATCTAAGTCAGTCTCCCATATTCATTGCATTAATATTCTAACCTGCAACAGCCCAAGTCTCATGGATATCATCTGTTTGACAGGGTAGCCTAAAACAGTTGACAATTAAAAATTTTCTTCCTTGAAAATTCTGTATCATAGCCCATAATAGATTCAACCTCTTAACTATATAGCTTGGGGATTAGTGGATTTTAATAACTAATTATTAGTCAGGCTCATCAAGTTATTGCATTTAACTAATCAATTATTCTAACATGAGGCTTGGATAGTTGGAATTAATTGAAGATGATAATAATTGGAAATGCTAATTTTGGTTAGTTGATTATTTTTGTGACATGAAAGTAACAGATGCTCATAGATAATTGATTACACCAGTTAACCATGTCAATCACCCAGATATATTTGACTTTTTTTTCCTGTTTGAACTGGCTGCAGCTTTACCTTTATATAAAACAAAACTAATTCCCATTTCCTCCCTTTTTTTAAAAAAAAAAGTTATCCCTATTAAGTAACTTACAACTTAGAGTATCAAAATAGTTCTACTTTTCTGTCCAGAATATCAACACATTCTATAATTTATTTTATTTTATCAATTGTCAAGTTGTTGCTCTACATTTTTTATGCTTCTGAATGCAAATAACCATCAGTATCATTGAGAGTCCTCCCTTATATATACCTCCTGACCATCATCATCTTCATTGCTAGCAGCCACATGTTCAAATGTGTTAAAGGTTATATGAATGGCAACTGAACCTGCCACTAAAGCTTTTAACTCTTCTACTACTGTACACCTTTGTAAACTCAGAATTCTCAATCTACCCTCCACGAATGCAACTTTTACCCTAACACTATTCATTTCCTGTTTTCCATCCTTGAGTTCTGCTCCAGATCTGATATTTCTTCAAAGCTATTTCTTACTTATCCTAAAGTAAGTAAGCTCTGTAAATAAAGAGTACTGTCTTTCTAAGCCTCATGAAAATCACAATCAAGACAAAATTCTCAAACTTCTCCAATCTTGGCACCTATTAAACCTTATAAACTCCATTCCATTTATTCCTGTACTATCTTTAAACATAACAAGGTTTTGTTAGTCTTAATTATTATCCTTCATCTATTTAGCCATCCAATACTTGTACAATTAGCTCAAATTAAGCTATTTGATAGTTCACACATTAAATTGCAGATAAATCTAACATTAAAATATACTTCTATTAATTAATACCAATATTATTACTAGTTCTGCAACTGTGGTCAACACCAGGCCTAGTTACATGCTAATTCTATATAAATTAAATTTTCAGCAGCTACTAAATGATAATGGAAACAATCATTTTAATTCTTAATCTAAAAAAATCACCTGTTATGATGACAAAACCTTGTCAAAACGTTGTACATTTGCTTTTATGTTAAACTTGTATTAAAGTTTTCTTCACTACCCATTCAAGCCGTCTCCAAGCATTATTAGCCTCAAAGTGGGTTCCTTGTCATCAAATATTAATTTTGTATGCTTCAAAATCTATGACACATGAAAGAAATTTCCAAAGAGTTACTCAACAATTCCTATCCTTAAAGTTCCCAAGCAGTTCTTTTCCACCTGCTTAACTTTTCAGATATTTCATTCCAATTAACATTAGCTTCAATATACACTATGAACATAACTGTTGTGCATCTTTTAGTAAACCAAGTATTTTTCCTCTTTTTCCATTCTTAAAAACAATTTATCTAAGATTTTACTTCTTTCCTTAATCATATTAACTACCTTACACAACCTGTTTATTTCATTCTCTAATTGTCAACTTTCCCAAAACAATCTAAAACTTTTCCTTCATTAAGAATGTTCAATAATCTTTTAATTTTCATTTAAGCTAAATGTTTTTCATTGATAAATAATTAATTTCTCTTTTAATCTGTCAATAAAAAGTTTTTGGTTGTAATGCAAAATTTGATAAGAATACATTCCTTTTCAGCTTCATGTAATTTAGTCAAAATATGAAAAACCTCCCAAGCTTAATTAACATTCCTCCTATTCATGATATTTTTCTCTCAAAATTTTTTGAAAATTGTAGAAGGAAGCTTTCATAAATACAATATAAATATCCATGCAATGTTCTAGAAATAACATGCTATCTAACATACTTATCAAATTAAGTTTTGTTTTGGTGATATTTGCAGTAATGACAGATAACAAAAACTTGTAATACATTAATATGGTAACTATAAAGTGAAACAAGCCACTTATATATGCATTTCTATATCTAACATTCCTGAAATTCACATTTGTGTTACCTTTACTTAAGTAAGACTTCTTTCTAATCACAATAATATTACAATGTAATAATATATTTTATTCAAAATACTTTGCCTGTTTCATTATATAACAGATGAATCAGTGTAAGATAGGGCAACATTTTTTGTTTTTCTTCCACCAGGCCAAGGCAAAAAAAAATAAATACAGTAACAGAACTTGACCTCTCTTTACTAAAGATCCAGTAATTCTCACTATTACATTTATATCGAGAGATTTGGGTTACAGGTTCTAGATCTACCTTGGATGGCTATACTTAACATTAATTGAATATTTTGTAGGTCCCAAGTATATGACAGTGCAGCTCAACCGTAGTTAACCCTTTCAGCACTGGCTCAGACCCTGGGACCAACCCCATAACCATTTTTTGCTTGTTATAATTTTCGTGCTATAACTTTTAAATTTAGCAAGCGTGTATTCATGAAATTTGGCAGATTATCAGTAAACATTACAAGGCTCTCATACGCAAAATATACGATTTTTGGTATTAAGTCTTAAGGTTTTTAAGTAATGTTTTTCTCATGCCTTTTTTCTTTTCGCATGTTGCCTATCCAACGTGCAAAGTAATTTTCATCTTAAGATTAAAAATGCTTTTATGCATCAGAAAATTTTCAAATTTCGCATGCAAAATCTTATAACTTATAGATAATTATCAACCATTTTTTTAGAAAAAACTTTATATTTTAACTTATTTTTACTATCAAATCTCTGTATGGGTTTGATAGATTTGACCGATCTTGTAACCACCATAAAAAATTGGGAAATAAATATAAATTATGCTTTTTTGTTCTAGAATGACCACAAATTATAACTCAAAAACATATATGTTTATTCTAAATAGCTTAAATGTCATAACATTATACATTTATATATATATATATTATTGTCATTATATTAACCTTTCAGCCGTGCCTGGCTAGCATCCCATGTGCACCCATGTTACCGTATCCAATAATATAAAACTGAACCTTTACAAAGTGACCTGTCTTGGCTGTGTTTTAGTGGACTGGTATTTTGTAAAATACAGTCCCATTTCAGTTATGATACATTATAAATGTATATACATTATTACTATTTACAAACAAGTTATTCAATTTATTTTTCTTAAAACATAGAACAGTAAATAAAGGATAGCAAACAATTATATCTTCTAGTTATGGTCTTTGTACTTATTTACTGCTTGCCATCAGTTGTTAAGTCTTATACACTTTTGCACGTGGAGGATGTGAAATGAAATAATTTTTTAGGTTTTATACATACATTTGAAATAACGAAAAAATCACAAATAACTACATCCACACCATAGGATTCCACTACAATTTATCAAGCTCAGTAACTAAGCTTTATTTGGGTCTAAAAAAATATGAAATTTTGAGCAGAGGAAAGACCAACTTGAAGTCTTGTATCGAAAGAATGAGTTGATGTAATATTTGAAAATGGCTGAGAAAGCCACCAGGGGGACATTCTAAGATTTCAATTGGCTATTCACATCATAGACAGATGTAATTGCATATGAGGAAGTTTCCAAAAATGGAAAGAGGTGGGCAGGACCACTGTGTTTGATTTAGTACATGAGCAATATCTTAGCAAATAGAAAAGATAAGAGGTTGTTACTTTATATTAGAGCTCGTCAATATCAGTAATATGAGTTGCTAATTCATAAGAAACTACAGACTTTGTATTACGACATATTGTGCTGTATTCAACATACCACATAACACACAAAAGTTGATGTTTAGGTGTGTTTTTTTTTATATTTACTTTCAAATTAAGAAATTAAATAATGTATAATACTAAAATTTGTATTATAATCTAAAATTTGATACGAAACTTATTGAAATAAATTCATAAAATTGTACTTCAACAAAATTTTGAATGAGAGTCAACAAACATTGACATGGCCTTTGACCCTTGACCAATGTGGAGAGGGTTTATGTCCTGTGGAGTTGATTTGGCCATTTTAACCAACCTTGCAACCTCAATGTAACCATTAAACTATACATACTATAAATCTTAATGTAATAAATGTATCTTTATGAAATTTGGCAAGCTTTTAGTAAGCATTACAAGTATTTTTGTACATAAAAAATTAGAGTTTTTAACTTAACATTCTCACTAAACATTTGTCTGTGAACTTGCGAAGTCAGATTCTGACTAGTCTGTGTGCAAAGTGATCTATTTTAAGATTAAAAATACTTCCATTTTAAGATTTTCAAATTTCATAAATATAACCTCTAAAACATTCTAAACAAATCTGTTATTTTCACTACTCTAACACTGTATACAGGCTCAGTTCATTCGACTGTTTTGTAGCCACCACACACACACACATACAATATATATATATATATATATATATGCATAATAAATCTAAACTACACACCATTTGTTTGCACAGCCAAAACTAATATAATTCAAATCTGATCATTTGGTTTATTGCTTTACTGTCAATTAGGTTAGTGCTGAAGCATATCATCACAGTGGAAAAGCTTTGTGTAAACAAGTATATTGAGTTACTAGCATGCTGCATTTGTGAGACAAACTTCTGCTATTGAATATTTTTATTTAATCTTTTTCATTTAATTTTTCTGATCTAACCTAATATGCTTTTAATTTTACATTTTACTTACTTTTATAACAATAAATAAAAAATATATAAGACAAGAAACCTAGTATTTGGATGTAGGTATCATACTTTCTTGCTCTAAGAAGTCTTGATTAAAGTTAGCCCTACTTTTGTAGGGAAGTTGCTAGAACTTAATGTTTTACACAAGTATGCAATTTAGAACACAAAATATTAACACTCAACAAAAAACAATGTCCTAAAACTATTACAATGTAAATCACTTTCTAAAAAGCAATATGTACATTAAAAATAATTTTCTTACCTGATCAAGGCAATTTCTGAGATAAACTGATACAGAATAATTTAAAACTAATTCTGAGAACAAACTAACCTCATAAGTAAAGCAGTGAGTTTAATTATCTTTCTACTGGTTATAACTAATCCAATGACACATGTCAAAGAATTATCACAAAAGTGCTAGGATGGGTGTGATATATGTGAAATGTGCTATTACTTATTTAAAACATAGCATCCAGTAATCATTTAATCATAGATTTAATACAATAATGTCTGATTCAATATTTTTGAAATGATTTGTATGACATGTAGCCTAATAATGTATCAAGATAATGTCTAATTACACAAGTAAGATTTTTTTTCAAAGACCTTTTCAGTTGTCCTCTATTTATCTGCAGGCATCTAGAATATCTTATAAAATGCTCTCGTCAATGTGCAGTCTCATGCTTTATACTTTGAAAAATTACCCACGAAGTAGTAATGGAATATACATACTGGATCTTTAGCAAACAAAAATCAAGGTCCAGTACATATCTCTAGCCACTTATTTCCCTTTAACATACATAATTCATTTGTTTCACTAATCTAGCTGGCCAAACCTCACTAGTATTATTGGGATTATGGCTGAAAATATTAAAAGCAATGGTACCCAACTGATGAAACATTGTGTTTTTGTCTTCACAAGTAGAAATAAAAGACAGTATATTTAATTAGCTATAATGATAGCCAAGTTGATTTTTAGTTTTCTTTAAGTACACATCTTACTTTTATTGTTAATCTAAATTAATTACTAAACAGTAAATATTCATATTATTCCTAAGGGCCATATTAACACATTATTGGTCAAAGGAGCTGAGCTTCTACAATACTGACAATTTGATCAAGTTGCTGCAAGAAAACAAATCAAGATTTCATTGTTGTTTTGGAGAAAATCAATAGTTTTTGGTTGAATCTACTAAGCTTAACACAATCAAAATGCTTGTTTTGCAACTGTGTAAGAATTGGTTATTTAGCAGAAAATTCAATTTAGAATAAAAGCAACTCTAAAATGCTTCATCAAATCAGTTACAAGTTTACAATCCATGTACATGACCTACATGTAATACGCTAGTCACTAAACTTAAATTAAAAACAGTTTTAACAATGAGTAAGTCATATTACAGAGTGCTGCTAATGGATAATGCCTTATTAACACACAAAAATAAATGCTGAATAATTATTTACACAAAACAAATTGTAATGGAAATGACTGAGACAACATAAGATTGAGAACATCAACACTACAACCTTATTAATTAGTTTGAAGAAATGAAAAGAAGAGAAGCATAAAGGCATTTATTTCATTCATTTAATGTGAGCAACATGGGTTGTAGTCTTAATATTATCTAATTTGTTAAAAACAAAATATATCAAGTATTTTGATGTTTTTCAGTACGATACTGTTCTAAAGCTTTTAGCCTCCCTCATGTTGCTGGCTTTTTACTAAAAATAAATTGTTTTTGACGCTTCTTATCACCATTTAGAAATAACTTAACCCACACTAATTAATTAATTAACCAGAACTACGTTGCCTACAGGATACAGTATTGATTATTAATATGGTGAAACAAATTAAACTGTTTACATACATGTTACGGGCTTTCCAATCATATTATAAATTAATATTTACAATATTTACATTTTTTTAATAACGTGTTGTTAATGGCGTTAATTTTAGTATTACTTTCACTGTTTCACTATCGGAAATAAGTTTCAAACTTAAACTAGTAATACTACTACTATAGTATTGGTAAATGTAGAGTTATACTTATACAAGATTAGGAAGAAGAAATAGAACACGTCACTGACATAGGCTTAACCTTAAGTTTAAAGAAATATAATTTGTGAAAAGGAAAACAAAAATAAAACAAATTAGCCACATATAATATTAATAATACCATGCATATGATATAACAAATAAACTCTCATCAATGACCTTACCAAGTCAATAATGAATTTAACATCCAATTGCCAACACTTCGTTCACAAACTATCCTCTGCCACGTAAGGTAGATATTTGCGCAAGCGTCAAAATTCTTGAGTTTTTGTATATTTGAATACCAGGGGCCGATAGCAAATCATTTAAACACTTTCATAAGAAAAGGGAACTTCATATAATAGAATTGAAACAAAGGCATATATAATTATGTTTAAACTCTAAAAATACTTTTGTAACTCGAAATATACATTGTATTCTACATTATGCTGTCTTTTAAATATCATACTGCTCGTTATTTTTTGAGAAAAAAAAACAAGAAATAGTAAGGACTTGAATTAAATGTATATATATATATATAGAAATATGCATATCAATTCGTGAAATACTTATTGATTAATTGACAATTCACGGTGTACCTCATTCTTGTGAATTCTAGTGATAATGTAAGAAGCAAAGAAAACCAAATGTATAATTAGATGACATTCCTGAAAGTGTCTTCAATTTAAACCTTATAGTCGCATAAGGCAATATTCGGATTTAGTGAGCACTGTTAATCATTTGTTTGCCTTCTTGAAGCCCCCCAGTGGCACAGCGGTATGTCTGCGGACTTACAACGCTAGAATCCTGGTTTCGATACCCGTGGTGGGCAGCGCACAGATAGACCATTGTGTAGCTTTGTGCTTAATTACAAACAAGCCTTCTTGAAGATTATACAAAGTCGAAAATATTTTTTTATGTAAAAGCGAGAATAAAGATGTTAGAAGATGCATTAATATTGTTACGACAGCGGAAGTCATGTGACGCTAGTAACACGTGAAGAGTATCTAGAAGATTCACGAAGAGACGAGTGTAATCTGGATGTACGCTTTTAGAGTATATAAGCCGGCAAATAAAGTGACGGCGAGAATAGAATTGCAGACAGACAGACAGAGAGGGACAATTGAGTCAAGCTCGGTAGTGACCATAAGTAAATTGCGTGAATCGTTGTGAATTATAGCGTGTGTTTAAGTTAAAGTAATTGTGGAAATTAAGTGTATTGCAAAGTTGAGTTGAGAAAGAATAAACTAGTTTTATTTAAGAAAGGACTTGTATCGCTGAAGTTTATCGGAAAGAATTTCTACGGAAAATTAACAAACGACCAGAAACGTAACAATATGATATTGTTGCGTCAGCGAGGTCACGTGACCAGTATCACGCCACGTCTTTCTCGAACCTTCATGAATGCCCTAGCATTTACTAGACATGTGTTAGTCTTGTATATATAAGACGTTCACAACGTGACGGGGGACAGTGTAATGAGTAATTGAACTGCAGTCAGAGAGTGTGTAATTGAACTGAGTATTGTTGAATTTAAG